GATGCACTTGTTACTAGTAGCTTCTAGTTACTAGTAGCGTTCTTGTTACTACTAGTAAGGCATTTGTTTTTAGAAGCGATGCACTTGTTACTAGTAGCTTCTAGTTACTAGTCACGTTCTTGTTACTACTAGTAAGGCACTTGTGACTAGAAGCGATGGACTTGTTACTAGTAGCGTCCTTTGCTCCTAGTAGTAAGGCCAGGAGCCTAGTAGCTTCTTGTTCCTAGCAGCGTTTTGGATCTGATCTCGCTGATTTCAAGCGGTGTGTGGCCATGGAGGAGTCGGACGCATGGCTTTTGCACTGGAGGCTTCAAAAGGATCAATCCCGCAGAGCACATTTCGCTCCAGGCGATCTCAAAGCAGATGGCTGAGATATCTGCACGTCTTGTAGAACTGGAAGAAGCGCAGAAGACCCAAGCTCTTCCAAACGAGGCCCTGCGCCGGCTGGAGGACATGGAAAAGTCATTGCAGAGCACACATCGCGAGGGGTCAAAGCTCCCCTCAGATTCGTGCTTGCCAGAGCAGGTTGGTACTCAACTTGACGAACTCTCTGGGCTTGTGAGTAAAGCCCTCAAAGTGGCCGAGAACAGTGAATGCAACATTCAAGCCTTGCGATTTGACCTTGTTGTGGAGCAGGACCAAGAAGGTCGTGCTGCAGATGCCGCGCAAGATGGCCACCAGTATCCAGAAGGTCCGGGCCTTGCAGCATGGTTTTGAAGGGTCGGCGTCAGAATTGAACAAGTTGGTTGAAAGCATTGTGAAGCGCGTCGAGGCGACCGAAGTGGCCTTGAAAGAGTTGCAGAACGCCGCGGAGGTTCACGCGCTCCGAGATTCACTTCGTGCAGATCTCCTGGAAGCTCAGCAAGAACGTGTCCAGGATTTAGAGAGCAAGTTCTTGGAGAAGGAGGAGCAGCGGCGGGCACTACGGGAGGCGAGTTCCGTGCTGGGCAAACTGCAGGAGGAAAAGGCCGTTCGAGAGGAGGCGATTGCACACATCACTCAGGGCTTCAAGCGTGGCTGCGCGGCTGTGGGCGAACGCTTCAAAAGGGTGGAGGAAGAGGTCGAGCGCCTGAAGCTGACCGTGGGTCTGCGCATTGGAGGAGTGCAGAGCGACGGCGACGGCGACAGCGACGGCGACAGCGACGAGGAGACCAGCGCCAACAGCGACGAACCGAAGGAGCAAACCCAACGGCTTGTGGCAATGGGACCACCCCAAAGAGAAGAGGAGATTAACGATGTCCTTCTTCGAGTCGAAAGGCTGGAGAACCAGTTGGGGAGTTTCAACCATGAGTCGGTCAATGAGAAGGAGATTGACCAGCTCCGCTCTCGCCTGACAGCCGCCGAGCAGCAGCAGGTACACGGCCGACAAGCGGAGGAGGTGAAGATGACCAAAGTCCTTCAGGCGGAGATGTAACGATGCAGCGAAGACGTGTCAGAGGCCTTGTCTTGCACTGAAGAGCTGGCTGGAAGATTAAGGCTGTTGGAGGAGCAAACTCTCCGAGAAAGTCATGTAGCGCTGCTGAAGCAAGGTGCCAGTATTTCGGACTCGAATCATGGGAGTGTCCACAAGCAGTTGGACGCTTCAGCTGGCTCATGAGCAGCTGGAGGTCGAGTCCAGAACTATCCCGTTCCAAGGCAGCGTGAAGCTGGCTGTCACTGGATGAAGCAACGGCAGGTGCGCCTGGTGCCGCCGACGACCTAGGCTTGGCAATGAGCCTGTGTCTCTCACACGGAAGACGACAGCAGACAAAAACAGCGTCCGCAAATGAATTGAGGGGATACCAGACTGAAGATGAGTCATCTCCCATGGTTGCCAAGCAGCCATTGATTACTTGATGCCAGTATGCTCGTCTTGGGTCGTCAATACCTCCTACTAGATCGAACAAAGAATGCTGCTAAAAACAAAGCTCTTCTTCTCTTCCTCCTCCTGCTTCTTCTTCTTCTTCTTTGGCACAGTGTATGTGGACATCCGCTTTTGTTGAACCTGCCAATTTAAGATATGGAGCTTGACGGCTATTTGGCCTAAGATGAGCCAAACGGCTCAGTGACCTGTCACATCTCTTTACCTCAGGCGCTGTTGCCCTGTGACGGCGGGGAGCGGCAGCGGTGGCACGGTGCCAATCGCCTAGACAAAGGTCAGTGGCACGGCAGCAGAAGTGAGGTCAGTGGCGAAGCCATCGCTAGGTTGTAGGCCATTGCTACTAGGTGCCTTACTACTAGGAACAAGAAGCTACTAGGTTGGAGGCCATTGCTGTTTGAGAAGACAGGTTCAAAGGTCTGAAGGGACCAAAAAGTGTGACGAAAGAAAAGGGGAAACTTTATATATTGTTTCTACTAGCTTCTTGTTCCTAGTAGTAAGGCCCTTGCTCCTAGTAGCGATGCCCTTTGCTCCTAGTAGCGTCTACAGAAAGAAAGAATACAGAAAGGAAAGACATGACTGTGTGTAGGGGGGTTAGTTTCAGAAGTGGCGAGTGGCAATCAAAATGCCGAGGTGCTGTAGTGGGCTTCGTGCTTGGAACACAGACCAGTGTCTCCAAGGGGTTTGCCCGGCTGCAGATTTATTTGTCGCACAGTAGTATTGTAACTAGATGAACCGAGCCTTTCGGCCACAAACGCCGGTTTCCATTGCCCACTGCGAACCGACGCAGACGCACACATTGATGTCATCCAGCGGAGGTTCCGAGCGCTAAAAGGCTTGACAAGCGTCAAGAAGCATTCAAAAAGGCTTCGAAAAGCATGCCAGTAGAAAGAGGCTCCGAGACAACGCACAGATCGAGGGTTCGAATTGCTTCCAAAAGGTAGAAGGCCAGGCCACGACGACCGGGACGCACAACGGCAGATGCCGCAGATATGACGCAGCAAAAACACCTCTTCGAAGTACGTCATCGCAGTCACAGTCATCACATCATTATCGCAGCGCTCTCATTGGTCATCGTCAAACCACTTTCATTCTACTATCGTCCTTGTTCTTCCGCGCAGCCGAGAGCGTCGCGTGTCTCTGGCGTGCCGGGCATGGCGATTGCAATGCCGCAGGCAACTAAACATGACAAAGAGCTCAGAGCTGCCTTGCCAGCTCACGGGCATACCTAAAAGGTTTCCCTCGCAAAAAGTGCCACAAAAAGTCAGCCACCCGATTTGCCTCATGTTCAGGCCACGGGATTTGAACTGCTTTCATGGGTTTGTGGATCATCGCCGCCGGACGCGCGACACAGCCCCAACTACACTCACGCTGACATGCCGCCATTGTTTCCGAACTAGCGTCCTTGTTGCTTCTAGCAAGGCACTTGTTACTAGAAGCAAGAATGACGGCTGAATGGAACAAGGGGTGCAGAGAGTGAGCTCAGACGCTCTGCTTTGAGAGAACCCGTGTCACCAAACGTAAAACTGATGGCACACCCAAGGCAAACGACCAACACGGTGATCGCGCGTTGTTTTTTTCCATGTGCGTTCACCAGGCGGTTTGCAAGGAGGACGACAACAACGGATCGTAGTCGTAGTGACGAATGCGTAAAGCGAGGGAGAGGATGCGGATGACGTGCCAGGTTGCAAATGGGAAGATGGCAACCTTCGTTTGCGACGTTTCGGGGCAGAACCCCCACCAGGCCGGGCTTTGGACAAAGTGCGTTTGCCTTGGAGAAGTGTCACCGTTTTCACTCCGTTTGAGTGCCCAGCATGCCACTCAGATGTTTCGGCTGATGATGTGTTGACACATGTGTTTCCCAGTCTTAGTGCTGTGTTGCTCAGATGCGCTCCAGGCTTGGAGGTTTGACTCTGGCCAACTGAAGCGACGCGGAGGCTTTGTTCCTGGTAGCATTCTTGTTCCTAGTAGTAGGGCCAGGAGCCCTTAGTAGCGTCCTTGCTCCTACCAAAGTTCAATCTGCACAAGAACGGAGTTTTGAGGGGCAACAACTTTGTATTGCACATGTGCATCTTGGCCAACTCTTTTCAACGCGTGGGAGACTTTCCAAGATATTGACATCCAAGTAGGACCGTGTGGCAGTGAGAGAGAGTGATTCGCCCTTCGGTAGGTTGATTTTCAGGTGGGGTTCGATGCAAGCAATAAGAAACTTACAGATCTATTTGGCTCGATTAGGAAGCAACTTTATGCAGAGCGCCGACTGCGTCGCCATTGAGAACAACAAACTACAGGCGAGAGTTTTGGGTAGTTTCTCAACAGATTCTATGCAAGTTTTTGGAAAACCTCGTATCCATCAAATTGTCCAATTCCCTGCGTCGTGGCTGCATTGGCATTCCTCATGGTTGTATACACACCCAAAACAACATTTGCAGGGAAACTTGTGAAGCAGAATCCGATTGGGGGTTTATTTTGCTGATTTCTCTTTCTGTTTTCGACTCTCTATTCACTGAAGTGGGAGTTTGGGATATTAAATTTGGATGTGCGACTAAGAACTGTGACTCAGTGACTGGATGTTTTACCGCAGACCGAGCATAATTCCAATTTGCAGGTTCAAACCTGCAACGGTGCTCCTTGGCGCCAGGCGCAAGGGCCACAGCGAAATCGATCCGACATTTTGTTGCAAAGCATGACTCATGTGAAAAACATGTTTGTTCTTTAGACTCTAATAGACCTTGAGACCGTTCTTTCATCCCCACAACTCTCCAAATTAGTCAATTGTAAACATACAAGCTCCCATCTAAGAGCGATGACCTCCAACCTAAGAGCGTTGGCCTTCATTGCTTACAATCACGAAAGGTTTGTGACATGAGTTCATCTAGAGTGGCGTCCAATCAGAGCGACATTTGTGGAGTTTCAGTCGCATTGCCCGTAGGAAGTCAAATTCTAATTAGATTTACTTAATTTTAGGTCTAATTCTATTGAATTCTTGTTTCTAATAGCGAACATTGTTCCTAGTAGTAGGGCCAGGGGCCCCTAGTAGCTTTCTTGCACCTAGTAGCGATGCCCTTTGTTCCTAGTAGCATCATCGAGTCCCGAAGAAAGTTTGGAAGTTTGAGTCGTGTAGGATGAGATCTTGGAGCCCATCGAGTTCACGTTGTACAAAGAGGCACGACATGTTTTGCTCCAGAAACAGAAAGGTAAGAAAAGAGGTTTCAAGGTCCAAATGAAAAAGACAAGCAAAGAGAACCGAGAAGTAAGAGCGAATACTTCGGTGTGCCTAACAAACGAATTGACAAATGCCAATAGAGCTGCCAGCCAGAGCCCGGCAGCATACTTAGCTCGACGAAAACCACATGAACCGGGAGGTGGACCACACTGAGAAAGGTCTGAAGCCCCAAGTAGCGTCCTTGCTCCTAGTAGCGATGCAATTTGCTCCTGCTTAGTGGCCTCCAACCTGGAAGCGATGGCCTTCAACCTAGAAGCAAACTATATATATATATATATATAACAGACCTTTCTTGTGTTTTTTCCCGAAACAATGTTCTGTTCGGGTTCTCTCTTAGGACACTCGCCACAATCTCTGGCCGCGCCCCTGAACCTTGTGTCCGGGTGTTGTCCTCCGGCAGTCCTCTGGCCGTGCTGGTGACCGCTGTGTCCTTCTCTTGTCCTCCTGGTGTCCTCTGCTAACCTCTGGCTGCACATGCGAACCTTGTGTCATATGTGGTGTCCCGTGTCCCATATTGGCGAACCCTCTTTGTGGTTACTCTTGTCCTCCTGGTATTCTTCCTGCTGTCTTCTGGCTGGCTGCACTTGCGACCTCCTCCTGCTCCCCAAGCAATTTGCTGTTGGGGTTCTCGTTATAGCTGTGGGCGCGCGGCTTGGCCACGCTGTGGGCTTTCTTTTCCACTGTGTCCGGGGTTTGTGCAAGCCTTGTCCGATGCGCTGCTGTGGGCCCTACGTTGTCCGTCTGCAGGCTTTGTCCAGGCCTTGTGTGTCCTGCTTGCGCTGTGGGGGCAAATCTTTCTTCCCCGCCTTGTGAAGGCTTTGCCAGGAGCTACTAGTGGCGAACCTTGTTCCTAGTAGTAAGGCCAGGAGCCCCTACTAGCGTCCTTGCTCCTAGTAGCGATGCCCTTTGCTACTAGTAGTGTTCTTGTTGCCTTTTTCCACCGCCTCTGGGTATGTTTTCGCGTGGTTATGAATGCAACATAAGGTAACAGTGATCCGGCGATGCAGATTTTCTCGACATGTCCCTTAGTCTTTGCACATGTGACCCGGGAAGCAGGAGCCAGTAGCAAAGGGCATCGCTACTAGGAGCAAGGATGCTACTAGGGGCTCCTCCTGGCCGTACTACTAGGAGCATTCTTGCTACTAGTAACAAGAAGCTACTAGGTTGGGAAGCGGGAACTACTTTTCAAACATGTTTTTGCTTGCATGCCGTTCCCAAACAGCTGCAGCTGGAGGCTATAGGAATATAACTACAAACGCTACCACCAACAAGGGAACATGTGAATTCAAGGGGTTCACACAAAAAAATATTGCTGATACTGTTTGGGGTCTATGTTGGCATGTAAAATTTCTTTTGCCTGCCCTTACTTAATTAAGTAGGCGCCTACTTAATTAAGGGAGTAAGCTACTAGATTTTAGGGGAATCTTAACATCGCATCGTACCAGCCATGCAGCAGCTTGCGCATCTCCATTTGGAAGCAAACAGAAGCCAACCACCCTTGAGTTGTGTCGGACCAGACCGTCTTCGAATTGGCTTATGTTGTCGACTAGGCCACACAGTTTCGGCATGAAAGCGTGCCGCGCTGCAGTAGAGCGGCATTTGTGCACATTGGGGACCATGCTTGAAGAAGCGTGAGCTATCCTGTGTCCTAGCTAGGAGCGA